CAGAAAAAAATATTACAGTCAATCCTTAAAGAGACAACAGACAATAAATGTCGGGGCTAAATCAACTATCGTAATATAAAAAGCAGAAACTCAACACATACTGTTTAACGTTTACTTCATATATATATTCTGAATGTCAAAATATTGTGTACTTATTTTATATAGAAAAGATAAGTTAGGTATAATAAATATATTATATAGCCTAGTTGGTCAAGCGGTCTATGGTACTGGATACAGTGCAGGCGGTGTTGCCACGATGTCACAGAAGCAGGAGATCCAATTCTGCTGAGGGAAGAACAAAAATTTACTGGGATAAATTTGAGACTAAGTATATATTATTGGTATAGCTTCAAAGATTAAAAAATTCGGCAGAATGATTTCTGCGGATTGTTATGAATTTTAACAAAGTTAATTTTCTTGGCATCTTGGTAATACCAGTAACTACAGTTAAGTTCCGTGATTAAGCCAGTTTAAAGCGTCAACTTACATTTAGACAGAAACGATCAATGATATTTCAGTAACATGCACGAATCAGGTGCGGTCCTGGATTTTTAAAACAAGGGGAGACACCGACAAGACAACCTTAAAAGTGTGACTTTCATAAGCAAAACGTTTCATAAAGTGTTATTTTTAACATTGCGAAAACATAAATCATTTTGAAAATCATAAGTAAATAAATAATCACTTTATACATATTATATCAATTCGATTTAACAGTATGCATAAAGACGAGGTGAAACATTCAAATAAACGATAAACAGTACTGATCTAATATCTTGTTTAAAATGCTATAAATGTAGCGATGTTCTTGTAATACTAATGGAATGTATAAAACACCTAATTGTACTGACCTTTTGAAGTGAGAATTTGGTGGGCATTTTGTGTAATTTTCTATGAACCAGGAAGTTATTCTGTTTATACCCGTTTAAATAGGTTAAGTGCAGTTGATGTGGTATCATAAAGTTTGACATGTCATTATTTATCATTCGATGGGGTCGGATCAATTTTTGTCGCATGAACAAAAAAACACAAAGAAACAACTAAAGTTTAATTTAACCCAATGCCCCCTCCTACCTCACCACATTTCTAAACGCATGAACCCACTTCCGATATCGCTATAAATATAATAAATATCAATAAAGCGCAGTATAATAACATATAGTCGACTGGAATTACATTAGGCACGTACCATGTATCTTTTGTGTGGAGGATGCATATTTGATTATTAATTTTAAAAAACTTACTTTGTTCCAGAAGGAAAGTGAAAACTAATCTGTTTATGTTGAAATTAAGTATAAAAATAAATAAAAACATCGTTTTAAAAAGAAATACCTGTTCCTGTATATTATTTTATAAAAAGCAACTAGTTTCTTATCAAAATTGAAAAGAACAGGGGAAAATACTAAATATGTTTAAACTATCTAATTTTTAGAAACCCTGTACAAAATTTGTGGATTTTAGGGAGCCCGTCTTGTGCACTCATGACGCCTGAATTCGCATCTGCAGTTCATGAATAATTGATGGGACTACAGATGTTAAGGATGTCCCTTGATAGAGAATCGAGAGCTTCTTGTGCAGATATCGTAAAGTATTTTCAAATAATTCGTCTATTTCGTCATCTTTATCACCTTTTTTTGAGAAACGTTTTCGGAAAGACTGCTATTATCTTTAATTCATCGTAATACCTCGCCTTTATAGATGTTACCCTTTTCTGTGAAAGATTTATAAAATTTCAGTTGGTTTGATGTACGTTTTTATATCTATTGATTTATATAGAACTCCTTCGTCTAAGAAGCGTTCGCCTTTGTAAACGACTTCTTGGTCTGACTTGTGTCCTTGTCTGTGTGTTTCACAAGCTGGGGTATCGCTACCGCGTATTTTAGTATAAGCAGTCACCTACAATCTAATTAGGTTTCATATTTATATTAACTCGCGTGCTCGTATATAACTCATATGAGGATCTGTATTTTAATTAGATTGAGTCACCTAGACTTGCAGCATAATCAGTATAATTTGTTTTCTTTCAGTCATTAACGTTCATCACTTTCACGATTGTGCTCATTTTCTCCCTAAGAAAAACTTAACATTCGTGACCGTTTGCTAACAGATATTTTGCATATTTTCTTGGTTCATCTCCATAAAGTGTCTTCAGTTTTTTCCCCAACTCTATATCTACACGTAAAGTATATCCTCTAAATATCAAGGACCGTTAAAAATTCCCTTTATTTCTCTTCAGAGATAGTTAACTTCAACTTGAATATCGCATTTCACCGCCTTGTCATTTAGCTTTACTTTTTTTTCAATTTTAATCTATTTTGTTTAATTTCAGAAGTCATGATTGTTTCAATTGATTTTGTGATGGGCAATTTAATTGTCCGTAAAAACGAAGTAACTTTTCAACAGGCAATTTTTTTTTCGCGTGCAGACATAACGCGCCGCTTTGAACACCTAATAGTTTATAAAATAGGTTTATTCCAGTGTCAGTGTACATGAATAATGACTGTGACATGTGTTTACTTAGAAAAGAGACAGCATTAAGATACCAAGGGGTCATAAAAACATATCAATCGAAGAGAAACTGACAAAGCCATGACAAAATTGAAAAACGACGAATCAACAAAAATGTCCACAAAACAAATACAGAGAAAACCTGTGGTGATCTCGGGTGCACAGAAAGGGTAAGCAGATCATACACCACATATGATGCTCGTCGTAGTACTCTTATGATATATGTTGACGGAGTATAATTATGACGTGCATAATGATAATATGTCACCTTAATTAGTATTATGGGGTCAAGCTCACTGGATATAAAATAATGATTGAAATCATACTGACAAAAAGATTTCTTTAAACGTTCTCAATTCTTCTCATCAAATTGTTTTAACGATTTTCAATGACAATTTTCTTAATCACCATTCATTCTTATTCTTAAGGCCAGTCAATTTTCAAATTTGTTTGGCCTTTTGTGACTTTTTTTATTTGAACGTCACTGTATGAGTCTTTCTGTAGAAGAAACGAGCGTCTGGCGTACACAATTTTAAGCCTGGTATCTTTGATGAGTTTATGTTCAACATGTTCAAGCCGTTAGAAAAGTATATGTTTATATATATATATACAGAGCACATGTTCTACATATGAAAATATGGTTCCTCTACAATAGAGGTTAAAGATATTATATATAAAGTTGGATAGGATTAGTGTGTTTCTATTTTAGACGAGTAACCCCCCAACCGAAACTGCTTGTTCTTTTCGGAAAGGTGCTCTAACATAGGCAAGAAATATATTGTACACAAGGATTATTATACTGGTTTTATTATCTTTTACTATGCTGCATTTATAAGTGATTCCTTTTTAGGATACCAGGAGAAAGGTTAAAGGCAAAATCTTGAACTAGCAGAACGACCTCTGAAAACTCTTTTTCTGACGCAGTCAGTATAAATTCGGTTTGTGACCCATTTATAAAAGACGCTTCACTATTGTAACGGCATGCATGATGTCACAAATCTTTGCTCTGATTGGATTGGACGAAATAACGGAATTGAACAAAAACCATAATGCTACAATAAAAGGAAAACATTACGGACATAAAATCAAACTTAACAATGAAATTATCCAGATAAATAAAAATGAATTCAGGTAAAGAAGGTGTCATTATCACAATTTTCAAATTGTTTGGATTTTTTAGGCTTAGCCTTTAACACACGAGTAAGTAATTATCTACCAGGTCAATAAGGCTATTAATAGCTCAGTGCTATAAGTTGCACTTTGTAAATACAGCTGTTTCTCAAACCACGCCTCTTTTGGGGAGATATATAATATTCATAGATATGTTAATTTGTTAACGTACTGGTTCCCATTTATGATCTCTGTGTTTCATTTCATAGAGACAACACTTGGGAATGTAACCAGAATAGAAAAACATGGTAGCGCCTAAATTTTAATTCTTAGGAGGTCCAAAAATGGAGGTAAGGGTAGTATAGAATTTAAGTATAAGTTTAAACTCTTAGAAGTTCAAGGCATATAAATGTTGAAAATATGCCGCACAGCCCTATATTTTGACCTTTGAATAAAATAGTAGTGCATATAAACTTTCCGTTCTAGAATATTATTTTTCACGAAACTTCATAGTAAAAGTGTCACAGTTTTAACCGCAAAGGGAGTTCCTATGGGAAATTGCATTGTCTATATTTACAGAATTGCAACCTATACATTATATCTTATTGACTAAAACTTCCAAGGCGTAATAATAATCTCAAAGAGTACAACATGTAATACTTGAAATAAAGAATGTCAAAATACATATATCGCAAATCAAATTACTTGTCAAAAGATGTATAAGACCATTTCTTTTTGGCGTCCGTTTGTCTCAAATATACACACCGAAATAGGTTGCACCGAAATAGGTTGTATCTCTAATTGTTAAAGTTGTTCTTGGCGTATAGACATTTCTACATTGATCTAAACTGTTTCAAGTTTGTTATTCATTACAGATTGTAATCTACTAGTACCTTATGTGTATGTCTATTTCACAACTATAGGTACTTCTTTATCTCGGAAAAATACCTATATGTTTATTCATTTAGTTAGGTTGTGTCTCTAATTGTTACAGTTGTTCTTGACATATAGTTATAATTGACATTTTCAAGCGTATTATTCATTACAGATTGTAAACTACTTAAATATCTTATTTTTATGTCTATTTCAAAGCTATATATAGGTATTTCTTGATCTATGAAAAATACCTATTTATATACTTTAATTAAGTACCATACAGTATAAATTTTAATTCTTTAGAGAAAAGCGCATATACTCGACTTTCAGAATCGTCATCCTTTTGCCGTCAAATTGTGTGCAATTTTTTAAAACTATGATTAGAATAAACCTCATAAAGATTCATGGTTTGTTTAAAACTATATCCTCACAACTGAATGCGTCAGATATCTTTTTTAAAGATATTACTTTTATAAATATAAACACACTTCCTTGTCACTATTAAGGTGTTTGACTTCCCTGTATGATGAATTGGAAGAACGTTTTATAAGATGTCAAACATTGTTTATTTTGGAACGTTGGTAAGTAATGTTCAACAGTTAATATATCATGTTGCAATTCGAGTATATTTACATTCATTATTTAATACTATATCAATTCTTTAAAAAATGAACCTAATTTTTGTCTAGGGCCAACCGTTATCGGAATTAAGACAAAAATATATGAACCCAAACAAATAACTTTCTTACCTCCCATGCCTTTCTTTAACATGTTTAAAACATTGATCAATGCTTTTCTCTTCTTTTTGTTGGTCACACTGAGTCAAAAAAATCCTTACTATATAGCTATAGGGCATGCTTATAAGTAGAGTCACTGACTAGCCATCGTTTTTGTTTTTGTGGGGATGGGGAATCACGGGATGGGTTTTTATTTGGGGCAAACGATATTTTTAACTTTATTCAAAAACAAATTATTTTTGTTAGACATGTAAGAAATCTAGTCCTTTAACATAAAAGGGTCACATGTACATGTACTCGTACTTATGTTCTTTTTGAGAAGTGACAAAACGAGCGGGTGTACACAGTAATATAAATATGTGACAAATATTAAAACCAAAAATATCATTATTTTGTTCATCATGTTCATAATATCCAAACTTCCTTTCGCTAAATCAGAACTGATTATGAATTTATGGCTACTGAAATCAACCTGCTTTGAATAGATAAATTTGATTTATAAATCAATCAACCTTTTTAATTCTTCTGAAAGAGGCTTTGTGCTCTGAGGAAAGCTTTGATATTACAATGTATAAATAATACTTTGTCTGAAAATGGTAAGTTTTCTGAAATTGAGTACACCATGAATTGGATAAACTAAACACAGTTTTTAAAACTGAAATACATGTAAGAGTATAAATTATATTCATGAAAATAATCATACTAAATGCAGTATGACGTATTAACATATATATATATATATATTGTTAAAATAGACTTTTTCACTTTTTTTGGTCTTTTGAAAATTGTTGTTTGTGCTGTATTTAGACCCCTCTACCAAGAAATTTTTTTTACATGCACACGTATAAAAATAGTTTGCAATATATATATATATATCTGTTGTGGCAAAACTGCAAAGTGACAGTACAACATCTTTCTATGTAGCTATAGTGGATAACTGGTCCTAGACCAGTTCAGGAACAAGAAATTTGTTTTTAAACCCAATGTTGAATTATATGCATGTACATTCCCAATTTTTCGATAGGAACAAATCATTTTCTTTTCACTAAAATATTTCCTTCTGAAACAATTTTTTTCCAAGAAATTTACAATCAAACAATTTATTTCCTATCTCCATGCTAAATTCTTTATGTTACTGTCCAAAGTCAGGAGCCTGTAATTCAGGGGTTTTCGCTTGTTGTTGTATATAATATTTGTTTTTAGTGTATTGTGTTGTATATAAATAAGGCTTTATTGTTTTCTCAGGGCCTTTTTTAGCTTGCTATGCAGTATGGGTTTTTCTCATTGTTCAAGGACTTACGGTGACCTATACTGTAGTTGCTAACTTCAACGTCATTTGTATGTCGGTGGAGAGTTAGCGATCATACAATATCTTCTTATTTTTGCCAAAGAACAGAACAGTACATAAACGCACCACACAAAAAACTAAAGATTGAGCAACACAAACTCAACCAGAATCCAGAAACTGCATTCCCTTCCAAAACAAACAAGTTATCTTTATTATGATATGTTTTGGTCTAGTTTAATTTAGTATAAAGAGTTAAAATTTGTACATATTACAAGTTCACTGCTCACTTCAATGTACAGATTTAGTCTGATCGTTAACTAACAAAGAAATCTGCTCAAACAAGAGTTAGGGGCCATCATCAACATGTAGTGAAATAATTTTTTTCTATTAAGTTAAGGATGTATTCTTCTGACGTTTCAGTCTCGTTGAAATGTCGTTCGGGAATTATTTCCAAAACATGTGATACAAGGGGAAAATATCAGTGAATTTAAAAAATACTATAATCAAACTACACTATGTGAAAAAATTGTGTACTTACAATAAGTAGTTTTTGAGTAATAACATTTTCAATTTTTATAAGCAATCCAGTCAGTGTCATCAGCCAAAATGTTGAGAAAATGGGTGAAGCGTACAAAGAAATAATTTTACCAAAAATGTGTACATCCCATATCATTTTTTTCTTTTCAAAATTCTTAGATATGTATTTGTTCAATCATTCATAACAAAGAAGTTGATATAACATGTATAATATGCTTTTTGTTCTAAAAAAAGAGAAAAATAACAAATTTACAAAATTTACAGCATGGTCAACTTGACACGAAAAAGCAACAAAATTTTATAAAACTTTCTTATATTAACACCAACCTATAGTTTTTATACGACCGCAAAAAATTTTGCAGTCGTACATTGGTATCACGTCATCGCAGCGTCGTCCGAAGACATTTGGTTTCCGGACAATAACTTTAGTATATTAAGTAAATAGAAATCTATGAAACTTAAACACAAGGTTTAAAACCACAAAAGGAAGGGTGGGATTGATTTTGGGGGTTATGGTCCCAACAGTTTAGGAATTAGGGGCCAAAAAGGGGCCCAAATAAGCATTTTCTAGTTTCCAGACAATATCTAGTGGAACAGTATATGGATCTCTCTGAAATTATACCACAAGTTTCCATACCACAAAGGGATTGTTAGGATTGGCTTTGGGGGTTTATGGCCTAAACCGTTTAGGAATAAGGGACAAAAAAAGGGGAAAAACAAGGGTTTCCTAGTTAATGGATAATTACTTAAGTATTGGTCTTTGGATCTCTATGAAATTGGATCATTAAGCATTATATAAGGGATAGCATTTGATTGATTCATGATATTTTACAGTATATAGAAGAGAACAATATTTTGGGATTTTGATTTTGAGAAAGCTTTGATTCTTTATGTTGGGACTTTTTGCTATAAGTATTACAATTTTTCATGCTATTAGTATTACAATTTTTTTCATATGCTGAATCTAACTGTGTATTTGGTTGTTGAGCCCATTTTCTAATTGGTCCAAACTTTGGTCCTAAAGCTATAACGTGGGGGGTAACAAAAATTGGAGGGGTATGGGGACAATTTTTTATCAAGATTTCAGAAATTATAAAAAGAAAATTTCTTCAAATATTTTTTTTTGACAAAAAAAAGGGAGGGGGGGGGTAAACAAAATAATGTTAGCGGGGGGGGGGGAGGTCAATTTTTCTCCAAGATTTAAAAAAATTGTCAATTTCCCAAAGAAAAATTGTGTGTTACAATTGCTTATTCTTTGTATATCGTCTGAAAGCAGATTTACAAAGTATTGCCAAACAGCACAGTGTATTGCACAAAAAACAAGAAATTGACTAGAAATGCAAATCATATAACCAATTCTAAGTTCTTTGACTACAGTTATTCTGTGTCGGAAACCTATTATGTGTCAAATATTTAATTACAATCCAATTTCAGACCTGTATCAAGCGCGAATATTGTGTCCATTTTTTCCCCCAACTGTTCAGGGTTGGACCTCTGCAGTCGTATCCAGCTGCGCTTGGCGAAGCAATTTATTTTAAGTTAGATTTATTCAAAAAATCTTTAGTGAAAGTATGAAAAAAAGTTTAATTGTGAAACTGCGATTTTTTTTTTATGATAATAGCCCAAAAATGGATAAAAATTGATCAACAATGGGAAAATCATAAAAATGGGGTACTTTCAAATGGCCGTAGTAAAAAAAAGAAGTACACCACCGTAGGATTTTTTGTTCATCAATTACTTTCTTACAGTCATATAAACCCAAAAATCAGGTTAAGAAAAAAAAATTTAATTCTAGAAATTTTTAGCTCCTCTTAGGTGTATATCCTTAAGTGTGATTCACAATGACTTATAGATGAAGCCCAGCAATAAAAATGCTGTTCCTTGGTTTTTGTAATTTTTATTTGAAGAGATTTTGATTTAAATATATATTTACATTGTAAAAATAAGGAGATGTGGTATGATTGCCAATGAGACAACTATCCACCAAAGTTCAAATAAAATGTAAGATAATCAACCGTAAGGCCTGCAACAATGAGAAAAACCCATACCATATAGTCGGCTTTAAAAGGCCACGACATGAAAAATACGAAACATTTCAATTGAGAAAACTAACGCTCTAATTTATAACAAAGCAATTTACTAAAAAGAAGTATGACAGAGATGAACCAACGACAACCACTGAAATACAGGCTCATGACTTGGGACAGGCACATATAGAATGTGGCGGGATTAAACATGTTTGTAAGTGCTCAACACTCTCCTAACCTTGATTAGTGGTGTAACAGAACAACATAAGAACAAACTATAAAAATCAGTTGAAAAAGGCTTAACTCATCAGATTGATATCCTTTTGATTATAAATATATTGGTCTAGATTTATTGTAATATCTTTGTTTATGTGTAAAGTATACAAATACTTCCAAACTACAATCCGATCTCCCCATATTGAGCTTCATTATAAGTATCACTCCAAACATTGGCTTGCCAGGCCCATCCCCCCCCCTTTTTTTTAAATCCTGGATCAATACATATACCTTAACTTATAAATTAAATAAAGAAAGACTATAGTAATAAATATCACATTGACGAATATATTCAATTTAAAATAACAATAAAAACTGATGTTTAAATTATTATACATAATGATTATCATGATCATATTCAGATTTTGTCTAGGTAACTACACCATGTACACCAGGAAGTAGGGTGTTTATTGTTAAACAGTGATGCATATCATTTTAATCGGGCTTCTACCTGTATACAATGGGGAAGTTTGTTTTTAGGGCTACTTTAATTTATCAACAGCTAGTTAATAGATGATAAAATTGAGGACATTAAATCTTTTAAGATCTATAGATATCTTACACACTTGACTTAATTTTTAACTAATTTAACCCATCATTTTCCATGAAAAATGCCCGTACCAAGTCAGGAATATAACAGTTGTTTTCCACTCATTCCGTTGGTTGATAATGTTTGATTTAAGTCAGTTTTAATGGACTTTTCCTTTTTGAATTTA